CCGGTGGGTCCGTAGGGTTCAAGGGGCAACCCCCCTTTCAGAGAGGGACAGGTATGGGCCATTAGAGGCTAACGAAAGAAGCCAAACGACCCCCATTCAGAAGGGGTGGAAGGGTTGTCTGTTTCAATTTGCATGTTTTCAAAAAAACCAACAAACAGGCTTTGTTGGGCTGCTGGATAAAGCAACGCAACAAGATTTCTAACATTTGAATTGAAAAAACTTCCTTAATGGGAAGTAAAATGTCCTCACCCTCGGAAACAAAGTCCACTGGATTGTTTTTTTAAACTTTTTTGGAATAGAGTCTGAAGTGCAGAAAAAGCATAGCTGGTTGGTTGTCTTCTCAAAACAATAAATCAAAACATTACAGTTTCTGATGAAAATTAGAAAGGTTTTTGGTGTTTATTATACCTAAATACTGTGCGTGAATGGTTGTTTGTTTCTGTGTTGCCCTGCGATGGACTGGCGACCTGTCCAGGGTGGACCCCGCCTCTCGCCCATGGACTGCTGGAGATAGGAACCAGCAACCCTCGCCACCCCACTTGGGATTAAGCGTGTTTGAAAATGGATGGATGGATGGATATACCTAAATGCTTTAACACTGTAAACCCTTCATTTGGATTTTTCTCTGCATTTTTCTCAGGCTGAGACAAAATGAAGCCAAGGTGTGAGAAGGTTTGGGCGTAACCCTTTATGGACAGCTGAGAGCTTTCTACAAACTGCTAAACAGGCGGCTGGAAGCATGCTCCCTAAAAGCAACAGCTGGATTTTTCTAAGTGCAGCATATTTCTAATGAAACTCACTGCAAAATGCTGCTGGTTTCTCAGCAGCTGCTGTTCACAACAACATACAGCAGCTCAGTCTAAAGTCCTGACAGAAGAAAAAAAAGATGAGGTTTGAACCCATACCTGTTGTGGAATTGCTGGAGTTTGCAGACCGGTCACGCTGCATTGCTTTTCTCTGTAGGGATCTTTCCTCTGGAACTGGAGAAACAGTTAAATTTGCTCTGCAGAGCCCACAACCAAGCTGAGAGATGTACAAGTAGATTTCAAAACTCTTACTACACCCGACCGCATTTATTTCCTCCAAGCATTGCGTGTTTCAACCTCATTACCAATGTCCTGAAAGCCTGCCAAGCAACACATCACTGTGACGTCTGCTTGCAGGTTGGTCCTCCTGCTGATTCAGAACATTTTCCTTTTTTTGTCATTAAACTGATGCACCTTAAGAGTCGATACATTAAAAACCAGTCACCCCTATTAAAGATATACACCCATGGAAATAATTATTGTTTTCTTTGGGTAATTTACCTTTAAACCACGAAAGCAGAAGGCAGGTTTAGCCTGATCCTTTTATGCATGACTGAGCATGTAACAATCTGAAGCAGGTTTCTGTTTTATGACTTGATATAAGTGAAAATAAAAGGAAATAAGCATAATCAATTTAAGCTATAACTAAATATTTAACATTTATTTCAGTTTGGGGACAAGTATTTAAACCTGAATTTTTTAATCATCAGCCTTAAACCTGAGATATCTTTGAGACTCTAAAAGGAAAACCCAGATTTCATCTCTGTAACTTTCTCCAACTCTGAAGGCATATATAT